ACAGGCAGTGGAGCATTCTGCATCCCGAAAGCTGGCGGCAGAGTTTCAACTTGGGGGCTTAGTTAATAGGATACAGAATCCCCGTTTTTACTGTTAGGTCCCAGCTTTAAATCAGCACAATGTGGGAGCAATGAGAAGAGTTTCCATCTGCTGAGCTGGATGAAATTAATGAAGTTATGTTCTCGGTCCAGTTTCTTGAGGCTTCGTTACGAAAACCATCACTTTAGGGGCATGTTTGCTGCAGAATCCATAGGAAGAGAAAGTTAAAAACTCAAACCACTCAACCTAGGAGGTCACCCTCAATGTGGCCCCTCCTGAAGGGGCAAGACACACTGCAGAGTGGCTGCCTTGCAGGACGTCACCCTTTCCCTGGACCAGCTGGTTCCATGACCAAGTTCCACGGTTGTTCTCTGCAATCATTACGTTCATGGGGGCAGGATACAGGAAAACACACACACATAGGAAAGTGGGTGATAAACTTTAACTGAAACATTTTTATTATGTTGCCATTTGTAAATGCACATCATATCTAATACTGTCAAGACTTTTTCCTTTCAAATTATGGGAAAACATCTTGGGAAGGAAGTTAGTGAATCAGAATTTCCACGACAATGTGAAGCAAGAAATGGAGTCAATTTAATAAATCTTATTTTCCCTAATTTCATACCAGACTTTTTTCATCTTTCAGAGTTTCTTATAAATGTTGTCCCGCTGCCTGGAAAACCCTTTGCTGTTTTGCTTCCTGGCAAATGCCAGCTAGTCATTATCTGCCTCAAAGGCAGAGGCAGCAATGATGTGCCCGGAATGCACACAGCACGGTACCTGACACTCACTCCTGGATGTTTTGAGCTGATATTTACTGAGGCCTGTGATGTGTCCAGGAATTGTTCTAAGCCCCGGGAATTCCGCTCCAAACACAACAGACAAGAACACACCCTACCCAGTGAGGGACGGTGACTATAAAATATGAACATGGTGCAGTGAAGAAATACATGCTGTGATGACCAACATAATGGGGTGAAGAGGTAGTGTGGGAGCAGGTGCTGACCCGGATGCTGTGGTCAGAGAAGGCCTCCCTTCCTGAAGAGAGAGGCAGCGGGACGCACAGAGCCTGGGAGGTGGCTGGCAGAGGTGTTCACAAGAGCTGAACAGGCTGCCCCGAGATTTGAGTCTGGAAGAGGGCAGAACAGGACTATTTGTTTTCACTCTTATTTTAAAAAACTTTTTTTTTTAAAGATTTATTTATTTATACAGACAGAACTGGGGTATAAAGGTGTGGGAGTGGGGGGTGAGAGGATTCATCAGAGACAGAATGGGGAGCAGAACAGGTAGATGTACTGAAATACACCACTGAGGGGAGCAGAGGGCGGGTCAGGAGAGGTCTGCTGCACCATGTGGGTCACCTCCGGGGCCAGGGATCGAACTTGCACTGAAGTGGTTGCGGTTAGCTTGCAGAGCTGTGTCCTAACCCATTGTGCCACCAGGGATTAAAAAACCTTTCTAAAGTTAAAGCCTAGAGTAGGGTGATTTCTACTCCTGGCCAAGACAGAATGTCAGGGAATTAACTTAGCTGCCTACTCACAACAAATGAAACACCCCCTTTCCCCCCCCAAAAAAATTTGGGGAAATGACTCTCAAAGCATTGGAAAGAAGAAATGATGGGCAGAGGAAGACAGAAACCCAGCAAGGGGCCCTACAATCACTCCCAGGCTGGGCTCTAGGGTCCCTGAGTCGGGGAGAGGGTGGCAGTGCCTTGAGGTCTCAGCCCAGGTATTGGAGAGAAGTGAACTATTCTCAGACAGAACCTCCAAGACCTTCCAGAAATTTCCCACCAGCATTCAGCTGAATCCTCTTCAGCACAAGGAACGGGGTCCCCGCCCAAGGGCAGAGATTATAGAGAACTACGCTTAGAGCTCACAGGCAGTGGAGCGTTCTGCATCCCGAAAGCTGGGGCAGAAAACCTCATCATAAGAAGACATCGGAGGACTCAGAAGGGTCTTGCCTCAGCACTGGGGCAAATTACTGGGACTGTGAATGTTCTTCAGTCCAGTTTAATGATGTTTAAAGCGAGACCTGAAGAGCAAACTGCTCTGTGTACCTCAGCCATTGAGGCGACACTGTTATAACACTACCTGGATTAGGCACACAGATTCACCTTTAGATACATGTTACCTGACCACACCACCACCAAAGCACCCATGTTCCTCCACCTTAGTCCACTGGGCTCCCTCGCCCCCTTGGCCAACA